TGTCCGGGGGGTATTTGTCCGGGGGGTAATTGTCCGAGGGGTATTTGTCCGGGGGGTAATTGTCCTAGAACCGTTTTTGGCACATGCTGTAACACTTTAACAACCCTATAATCCATTCCAATAAACCTCTCAGATAATATTAATACACAAAGAACATAATAAAGTTATTATGATTTTTATTAATTTTTTAACAAATTTAACAAATAATAATATTAATACACAAAGAACATAATAAAGTTATTATGATTTTTATTAATTTTTTAACAAATTTAACAAATTTTTTATGTAAAAATGTAATTCCATTTTTGTATGTATGAATATTTTAAAAATAAAATAGTATCGTTGGATTTTTTTCTGGAAGACTTTTTTTCCTGAAGACGTTTTTTCTGGAAGACTTTTTTTCTTGAAGACTTTTTTCTTGAAGGCATTTTTTCTGGAAGACCTTTTTGAATGAAGATATTTTTACTGAAGATATTTTTTCTGGAAACATTTTTTCCTGAATGCTTTTTTTCTGGTTACCTCAAAGAACTACTGGCATGTGGGATATCTGAAAATTTGCTTCAATGGATTACTAACTGGCTAAAAAACAGAAAACAGCAAGTGCAAAAAAGCAAAAATTCAAACTGGATTAGCGTTACAAGTGGAGTTTCTCAAAGTTCGGTGCTGGGCCCTCTACTATTTGTTATTTACATTAATGATATCGACTCTGGCAAAATATCAAAAATATCAAAATTTGTGGACGACACGAAGCTGTGTGCAAGGGTCAACATCGAAGAAGATGCGGAAGTATTAAGACAAAATTTGACAAGACTATACAAATTGTCTGAAGATTGGCAAATGCTATTTAACATAGACAAATGTAAATTTATGCGTATGGGAAGAAAAAACAAAGACTTTCAATATCAACTAGGCAGTAAGGACCTTCGATCTACAAAAGAAGAAAAGGACCTCGGAATCACTATTCATAAAAGCACAAAATCATCAAGACAATGTACTTTGGCAGCAGCTGAAGCAAATCAAATACTTGAATTATAGAAGAACGGTGGTGAGCAGAAAGAAGTCGATCATTATAAAGTTGTATAAAACATTAGTTTGCCCTCATCTCGAGTATTGTTCACAGGTTTGGAATCCAGATCTGCAAAAGGACAAAAACATTCTTAAACGGGTACAGTGTAGAGCAACAAAGATAATCGAAAGAGTTGGAGAACTAGAAAATAGAGATAGACTGAAAAAATACGGATTAACAACACTAGAAAGGAGAAGATGCAGAGGAGATCTGATTCAGACACATAAGTTAATAACTGGAAAAGAAGAAACACCGTTCACCAGGTTCTTTCAACTAGAAAAAAAGAATGGATAAGGAGGTCCTAAATACAAGCTCTTCAAGAAAATAGAAAATTCAATAAAGCAGAAATTTTTCAGCAGCAGGGTAGCAAACGCCTGGAACGAGCTGAGCGATAAAATTGTCTCAGTGGATTCAATCAACAATTTTAAAATCAGGCTAGGACATTTATTTGGTAATGATTCTTACACAGATGCTAGTCTACTGAGCCACTATAAATTTTGTTATTATTATGTTATTATTATATTTTAGAGCATATATCAAAGCAATTTATTTTAAAAAGCCGTTTACTTGATATTCAACGAAATTTGAAAACAGATGGATCTTTAGATCTTCGTGAGTGATGGAGAAGTAGTTAGAGAAGTAGTTAGAGAAAAAGAAGAAAGAGCTTTAAAGAAAAGGACCAGTAAATGCTAAAACAGATTTGCCATCAGTGTTTTTAAAAAAATGGTTATAGACCGGGATCAGACAGAGGCTAATCTTAGACAACTTTGACGGGGGAACAAAATTTTGAAAATATTCAAATTTTCACAAGGGAAGCCAAAATTTTCAAGGGGGGCTAAAATTTGTGGTTGTGTGGCTGACGACCTTCTTTTGCCTATTAAGTTCAATTTTTGGTCGATTTTCTATTTTCTACCTAAAACGGTCCTTTTTCTGACTTTTATTAAAAAAACTGCTTACGAGGGAGTGGTGTGTTTCCGGTCTCCTTAAATCCGCCACTGGGCATGGCGACTTTGATATTCTCTAGTCTATTGTATCTTCCATGCTAAGCGTTTGTTTGAATGGGCCCAAAAAACGTTAAACAAAATATAGATAACACCAAGGTTGTCATACTTACTGGAACCAGGACGCTTAAGTTTTGTTAAAATATTTGATGAACATTTAGAAACTAAGTAAGTTTAAAATTTTAAAATTATTTGATGTTTTATTGGTAGCCAGCGTACGAAAACAAGATGTGGGTATATACGAGAGAATGTGTAACGATGTGTTAGTAAATTATAATAAATGGGAAACAACAAGAACAGGTGAAAAATTTCATGAATGTTAGGAAGGCAGATTTTAGAAAATGGGTAACAGGATGAGGACATAAAAATCATAAGAAGGATGCAATCGGCAAAGATGTAGAGTTGAGACTTATATGGAATTTAAAACAGTCGAAGATAGAAAAAATAAAAGTATATATATGTGTATTTATCGTAACAACACATTTTGTTGATGATGATGTCGATGATAGTGGCAGATCTAGACAACTTTCACGGTGGGCCATGATTTTCAATAAAATATTTGACGACCGGGGGATTTCAAATTTCAAAAAAATGTTTCATAATTTTTTTGGGAAATGTTTCATGTTCATGGTCGAGCTTATATTTTTACGGGGGAAGGACAAATTTTTAACTAATGTGGTCAGAATTTCACTTACGACTTTTCTTGGCTTATAATGTCAATTTTTCACTCAAAAACACATTTTTTCCCAAAACAACGAACTTTCAACCCAAATAACGCTTACAACGGGGAGGGACACTCCACTGAGGGTCCCCTAGATCTGCTACTTCGTAGATGATCAACAAAGTTACTAACACATGTTTCATTGGTGTACATCACAATAAAGACACAACGTGGAATCAACAATAGTTGTACTCAAATTTTAGAACATGCTAAATTCGAAGCTTCAATGCTCATGAAAGTTGTTCCATTACGAAGAGGACGACGTGTGTTTACGTGTGAATGAATGCAATATATTTCAGAACATTATTTCAATTTTAAATTTTCTGATTAAATTTAATTTTTTTATTGATTATATTCTTTGATTATTTTTATTTAACCTTTTTAATAAAAATACAAACAACAAAGGTAGTCTGTTGTTATTCCAATAAAATTAAAGTGAAAATTTTCAAAATTTTCCTTCATACTCACTGGCTTCAGCAATTTATTTTTAATGGACGTTTTTATAGAATTACTATTATTACTGCTGCTGATGCTACTACTACTACTACTACAACTATTATTATTACTACTACTACAACTCTACTACTACGAAAAGGTTAATGAATAAAATAAAAAAATTGGTTTAGTCACAACAAATTTCAAGCTTTCTAAAGTTGGTGACGCGACCTTTTTTATTTAATTATTTTTGCACATTCCTTCATTATTTGATTAGTTTCAAAAATCAGTGATATCAAATTTTTAGTTTTTGGTTTGATGGCTTGATTACCTTGACATTTGTCATTCTTTATTTTCTAATTTACAAAAAACTTCATTCTGGTGGGAAATATGTTACGATTTGTTACAGAATTTCCGGTAGGTCTACTATCTCTACCACTGCTAATGTTTACTAAAATTAACATTTTTTATTAAAAGAACTCGACCCGATGTTTCCAGCGTATTTTATAACTACGAAAAGCACGAAAAACAGAAATAGCAAACGTGATCGGCAAAACCTGGATGAATAATGGATTCTTGCAAGCGGTGGTCATTACTTTCATTGGAGACAAACACTGATACTCCAGCTTAAATGAATAGAACAATTCGAACGATTCACCTCACATAACATCATGTTGCGTGCCTAATAGAGTCCCACATTTCAACTCAGAATATCAAAACAAAATAGTTAATGTAAAAATATTTCTGTCGAGAAATTGACAATCGATTTAATGTTTAACGCACTAACAATAAAGTACAAGATTACAATCAAAATGAAGACTTTTTATATAATAGAAAAAAAGTAGCGACTGTGCTAGCGATTTTGTTATTACTTTTTCTTTGAAGTAGCGCTACATTTACCTGCAGTAGCCGTAGCGATTAGATTGCGGCGCTCCATTTTATGAGTAACGTTAACGCTCCTGGCAAACACAAGTAAACAATCTTAGTTTTGTCGTACGAACATAATTATTTGTGAGAACATGCTTCAGTAAGACCTCGGCAAGACTTGCATCACTTTCTAGATGCGGTGTGATGTGAAATTGTTTTGTTGTGTTGCTTTCATTTAAAATCTATTAAATGGTATTTAAGATTTGCAAGTTCACTGGAATGAAAATTTTTTGAAAAAACTGACCCTCGGAGACGATATAAATAAATGCTTTATGCATTGAAGTTAACTTTCATTGTTTCCATGTTGTGAAGCTTACTTTCGTGCTTCATGCTTGTGTTATTGTGTAATCATTTTATCGTTAAAGTTTTATTGATAATTTTATGCATTTTGAATTACAGAATTGAAAAATGATTATTTTTGGATTATTACTCTGCTTTTTGTAAATTATAGAGGGTTAGTTAGACATTTGATTATTTGTTCGAATATAAACGGTAAAAGCCTTTTACCGAGATGCTAACAACAAACAGATGAGTGAGATACATTATTTGATCAGCCTGCTTTTGGAAAAGGATGAAAAAGAAAGTGTCAAAATAGTAAGTACAAAAATTGGTAATACTTAATCTTCTAATTTCAAGAAGTCCGTCTACAGGGCCCTCACTCGAAACGCTTCAATAAAAGGAATAGGAGCCATCCTTTAGTACTTCAGCGAAACGGTTCACTCTTCCACATTGAGTAAAGTTGCATATCCTTCCAACATCGCACGAATGGCGTACGAATTAAATATTCTTGCTCATTTACAAGTTGGTGAAATGTTGTACCAGTGTGATTCAGCAACCATTGCTCATGATGCCACTACAGTTGTTGACAAGCATGTTGTTAAATTTCACCTTAGTTTTTCGCCATCACAAGCATGCTACACAATTCCTAAAGCTAGACTTCCAGGTGGCACAGCTGTTGATTACGCCAGTCACATTGTTTCATCCATGCAGTTAGTCACAGAGACATACATACGCACACGCACACTTCAACAGGTTTGAAGTTGCCCAATGCCCAAGTTCACTGTCAGTTCATGTCCAAATTGAAATCGTGCCTTGCGGATAGAGTTCCCGTCAACAATCGTGTCCATCAGATGCTAAAGGAGAAACTTCAGATCCACTCAATCAATTTAAGTTGCAATGTTCATCCATTAGAAGGAATTGCATCTGATGCCATGAAACGTTTGGCAGATTTCGACAAAATCATTGAGTTAACAGGAAGAACTGGCAAAGATAGAATTGCTGTCTCTTTTCTATACAACCTGTCCAAACTGAAGTACTTAATTTTTATATATAATTTTTTTCTTAAATGGTGACATCTTTGTTACTGATGTTATATGTACAACTATAAGGGAGACCCATCTGCATTCAAGGCATTCCTGAAAACCAACAATGTCACAACTGGCGCATTCCTTAGATATGTTGGAAAACCGATTGAACTTAATATTCCATATGGGCGGCATCGTCATCTATCATTAAGAACTTTCCAGAACTTTCTTTAGAAAGTATTTATGTTCAAAAAATTGTTTCGTTATAACTAAGGCAAAACAGTAAAGGTAGATAAAGTTAAGTGGTAAAATTTTATTTGCTAAAAAGAAAGGTTTAGTATGGAAAAAATTATTAAATAATTGTAAGAGATTAAAAGTTAAACAAATTGATCTTTTTGGGAGTGTATTTCATTGTTCAGATAGCTTTTTGGACTATTTTTCCATAGTGTGATGCAGTAGGTTAGATGAGGGTAAATGAATGTATAATGAAGCGTTTGTAGAACAAAACGAAAAAGTTTTTATTTGATTTGGTAGAAGATGCCAATGAGTTTGTTGATTTTATCTGAGGTTGTTTGTAGGTGTGAATTCTATGAGAGATTTTCTGTGATGGTGATACCAAGAAATTTGGTTGACAGGGTGCGGTTTATAGGAACGTTGTTAATTAAGAAATTAAAGTAAGGGGCTTGGTTTGTGAGTGTTTTTGGACCAATAATAACATAGGAACATTTAAAATAATGTATAATTAGTTTGTTTTTGCATAACCAAGTAGAGTATTTTTCAAATTTGAGATTAATAAGTTCAGAATAGTCATGTAGATTGTTAAGTGTAAAAAGAAGGTGATATCGTCAGTGAACGGCACATATTTGATTGATGGCGAAACGTTGCAGTGGTCATTTATGTAGATAGGAAATAAAAGGGGTCCAAGTATGGATCCTTGTGGTACGCCGTGATGAATAGGAGCAAACTTTGAATGGATGTTGTTTCTGGAAACATATTGTCTCCGTGATGAAAGATAGCTTCTCATCCAGTTGTGAGCTGTGCCTCTTACTCCGTAATGATATAGTTTGGATAGGAGTATTTTGTGATCGATGACATCGAAGGCTTTTGATAAGTCCAAAAAAATACCAATGGAAAAATTTTGCTGTTCATTTTTTTAGTTTTTAGTATGTGCTGAGCGAAGTCGAGAATGGCAAGCCCAGTGGAATGGTTGGATCTGAATCCATATCGGTTGCTGCAGATAGTTTTATTGGAGTTGACAAAATTAGAGAGTATTTTGAAGAAAAGTTTGTCAAGAATGTTTGACAGTGGGGTTAGAATGGAGATGGGTCTGTAGTTGTTAACATCGTCTTTACTTTCTTTCTTAAATATTGGTATGATTTTCGATACTTAGAAATAATTCCAGTGCTTGGTGATAGATTAAAGATGTGGCGAGTAAGTGGTGAGATGTGAGATGATAGAGAAAATTATATTTTTGATAAGGAACATGTTGAGTCCATCGTTCGTCTGCATAGCTTTTTTCCTATTCAAAATATTGACAGTTTATATATATATATATATATATATATATATATATATATATATATATATATATATATATATATATGCACGACAGAAGGATGCAAGTTTTCATAGAAGATGTATGCGATAGATCGGCAGCCGAGCATGTTGCATATCCTGCCTCGCGATAGTCTCGCCTCGTTGCAGTGTGCAGTCAACACTTCCAACGCATAATCGCTCGACCAACTAAATTCTTTGCGAGTGAAGAATTTTTTTTTCAGTTAGTTTGCTGTCGACAATTTTGTAAAGGTTAGCACTAGCACTTTTTAATGATATAATCTTGTTGCTCATTATTTAGCGTTCAATTAAGTTTTTTTTCAGTATGAATTTTTTTAGTGATTAATTGCTTGAGGGGCTTAAATACAACAGTTATGTGTGTGCTAGTTGAACGAATATAAAATTTTAACGATTTTGAAATAAAGTAAACATACTTTTTATAACGTAATTAAAATAATAACATTATCATAATAATAATAATTATTATTATTATTATTATCATTGATTCATACTAACTAAATTTGCCACATTAATTTACAAAAAAAAAATGTAATATGAAATGATGCTTTAAACTCATTTATGTGCAATTTTTTCGTTTTTCTTTTTTTAATTATTTGAAATTCAAAATTTTTGATTGAAATGGTGAATAGCCCTGGAGACAACAATAAATACTTCCACAAACGTTAAGTTACAAAATGAAATAAAATGTAAGCATGCAAGTTCAATCGTGTGCAAATGCACAGAATGTTCTTGCACAAATATTTTAAACTCAGAAGCAAACATTTGCACCGTAGCGACAAGCAAGCAGATAGCGTTGTGGACATTTTTCAATATAACTACTATGCAGTATGAATCCAATACGCCTGTGGAGACACGTCTGTATTTGAAATCTTCAATGTTATACTAAGTTTCAATCTCAATTGCTATACTCGCTATCTAAATTTTCCAAACTGTCGCTCGTCACTATTTCTAATTAAACATCAACATTTGAAGTATTGGAGGCGTGAGTGACTCGGCGTCAACGTCAATCCGCAAAAATTCTTTTATGAAATTGGTGATAAATAGAAATAATAATGAAATTAATTATTATAACAATAACCACAACAATAATGATGATAGTAATAATAATGAAAATAATAAAATTTGTTCAAGATGCAATTGCGCTGTAAAGGCATACGAATGTTAATTTAAACAAAACTGGAAAATACTTAAATAAAAATTCATTATAAAGTGATTTTAATGTTGAACAAAAATCATTAAAAAACTTTCAAAGTATAAAAAAAGTGGAATGCAAGAAATTAATTAAATATTTTGTACAAAATTAAAAGTTGGTAAACAAACAAAAGGAGAAATAAAAAAAGGAAAGAATAAAATCCAGTAAGCTAGGCCTGCAACAAACGATCCATCGGGCAGAAGTGTTGCTCAAGAATTATGTAGATTAATGATGCACATCATCACCACCATCATCGTCGTCCTCACCACCATCATTATCATTATTGTACATTGTAACCTCACGCGTTAATCGAAAATTACAACGACGGGCGCGCGGTTAAATGCACTTGAAATAAATTTATTTTACAAGAAGAGGAAGGAAGGAATCAGCGAGTGCACGTGGGAGCCTGCTTGCTGCTAGTGACAAATTGATGTCTCGGGCTCAATTATCATTCAGAATCATTTCCAACTGTGCCGATCCATCAAAACATTTTCCTCAGACTACAAGACTTAACAAATTGTTCGGCAACATTTTTATCTTTCTTCAAGCAAAATTAGTCTGTGGTGCATTCACTTTGTAACAATTACTTCATTTAAAGAACATTAGTTTCAAAATAATGAATTAATATAAATTATTATTGAAAAAAAACTATAACGCTTATTTATATAAAAGAAGAACCTCAAAAGCGCCACTTTTGCATCAACGTCCACCGAGAAATAGAGAAAGTTTTGAGATTCCTCGAAATGCTTACGAAGAATAGTCCAGGTGTAGGGAGATTGGATAGCAAGTTGTTCCACACGGCAGGTCCAACGATTGGATTGCAAAGTTGCAAGTACCACAGGCAATCAAATGGGAGGGACAATATATAGATTGAGCTGAGAAGAGCATAGTCTATATTCGAGTGCTGCTTGTGAATCACAGAGCTTTGGAGAAGGTATTCGGGTGCCATGCTATCTACGCACTTTTACATCATGATGAAGATTTTAAACAGAATTTCAACCGTAAGCCAACGTTGAATTTTTAGAAAGGGTGGGACGTGGTCAAACCTCAATCCACCAAATACTTGCTTTGCGGCAACTTTCCGAAATGAACTAGAGTTGGTGAAGGGATTTTTAGACTTGCTATAGTCAAGCGTAGAAAATTACACGTACGTAATTAAAAACTGTTATTAAAATATTAAAAGTATTGCAAACTTTCTGAATGCTAAACTTAACTAGAATAACCTTAATAAAAGAACTTCAAGCAACTAGCTATATGTTTTTTGCTAGGCAGGAATGATTATGAAGAAAAAAACACAAGCTGAACAGCGCGAATTAAAATGTATATCGGTAATACGCTCTTAAACCATTTTGCAAACATTTCTTGACGTGACATATCCACGGAAAAAAATATGAGCGCGGGTTTAAGCTTGTAAGTCCACTCTAATTCTTTTTCTATAATCAACAAAATGTAACCGTGTAATACAAATATTAAAAAAGTCTTCAGTCTCATCATTCTCATTGACAGATAAAAATTAAATGTAGTGTTGTGTGGGATTTGCTTGCAAACGATTTGTTAATCAAAACTAAAATTTGAATGGCGTAACAAGTAGAGGTTTATATATCTCTTGAAATTTACAGAAGGGAAAGTGTAAATTTAAAAAATGCAATAATAATTAAAGTGAATTAAAACCAAAGTCATCAAATGATTATTCAAAATCAGTTCCATATTTCATCACATTTTTAGGGAAAACCAAAAAAATCCGACATTATCCCAACAAGTCGGCTTGATAGGGCAATGGGATGGGTGGCTTTCACGTTTATTAAATTTTACGTACAATGAGTGTGTGTGTGAGTGTGTGATGACACCATCATCAGAGCAAGTGCTTTAGCGAGAGGAAGAATGACCTTCAACTTTTAACCTCTAATATCTAAAAATCACAAAAATTTTCTTAATTTTTAAAATTGCCCGAACGTGAATCTTGACCTCCGAAAATTGAACATCATTGAGCGTTAGTGAATCTACCAGGCAAGAACATTCAAGCCTATAAAAATATTTTTTAATGTTAAATTTTGAAAACAACTTTATTATTGTTATTTTTCACATTACAGGAAGTTAAACGATATAATTGATATTTATAGACATTCCATTTTTTTAGTTTTATTTTGTGTGGAATTCATTCATTTTTCAGCAAAAAAAATCTCAACATGTAAATAAAATCTTCACCATTAGAATGGGAACGTTGGATATTGTTAATTCTGCAGAGATTGTTGGAGAGCCAGTGCAAATTTAAACTGCAGATGTTCTCTGCAACTCTATCCCGGCGTTTAATTTCAAATTATTTTCTCGATGTCGTTTCAAATATTGAAATTTTTTTAGCAAAATAATTAAAAAGTAGTTAATCGGAAATTTCAAAACTTGAAAATTGTAAAAAATGGAAAAAAACTTTTAATCTGCCTCAAAATGAGTTTTTGTTTCTATAAGGATGAAACCTCCATAAAAATGACGCAAAAAATTTAAAATTTGAAACGAAATGCCAAAACTCGGAAATCTTTATTTTAATCAATTTACGAGCTTTGAAAGTTTAAAATCAAACATATTAGAAATGACATCAGAACATTAGTAATAGCAATATATTCAAATTTTAAGTTAAACAATCATTAATAATTATGATTGAAATAATAACAACAACAACAATAATAATACAATAATAACGATGGCTGATAGTTGAAGCATGAACCTTGATAGAAGATCTTAAGCTCCAATGAATTTATTTATTTTCTCAGCAGAAATGTAAATAGTCGCAATTTATTGAATTATTCTGATTATTCGTGTTGTGAAGTTAATTTTTGGCACCAATTTAACAATTAATTTTCCTACCTCATACGTTTTTAAGGTTCTACAAGCCTACTCTAGACCTATGAAAGACTGAATGACTATCCAGTCTTTAATAGGAATGATTAATGTAACTAATAATTATAGCAAACTATTATCAATAATTAATTTAAAAAATAGCATAAGTGATTATTTAAAAAAATATTTCAAACCTCTCTGCAAATTCGAAACTTCAAACTAATTCCATCTTGAATATTTGTCATTAAAATGGGAATAGTTTATTTTTTGTATTAAACCATTACAATTCAATGTTAAATTATTTTCTACTGAGGCTAAATTTGTTAGCGAATCCACGCCAACCGTCCAACGTGGTGATGTTTGCCTGTTTGTAAAAAAAAATATTCATTTAAAAGTTATAATAAAACTTTTCAATGAAAATGAAAATATTTAAAAACAAACTTCCCTTTTACTTTCATGTGTGAGTATTTAACAGATCAACCGATATGTGAACACTCCAATTTAGTCATGAATTTCAACGAGCAAGTGGACCGGCATCCTCCTACGAAGGAGACGGCCAACGGTTTTGAATCACTATGCAAATGAACAGCCATTTCATGATAATAAATTCTGACTCTGCAATAACCGCGTAAGCGTTGAAAGTGCGTAAGCCCAGATTGAACAACATCAACGTGCAACAGAACATTGTGTGCCCGTCAAATAATAACTTCGTATAATTGTTTTGAAACATTCCGGAATGGTTTCTTTCTCTCGTTTCGTATCATTTAAATCTCGTTTCGTATCATTCAAATCTCGTTTCGTATCATTCAAATCTCGTTTCGTTTCATTTCATTTAACCGCAAGAAATGCATGCTTGATATGGAAACAGATTTCACGTATAGAATAACATGGCCGTCATGCATATCATGAATAATATGGTCATTATTCGGCCAAGCACCAAACCTAATTTCACTGTTGAGTAGCATCTTGCACAACACAAACAAATAACAAAATATTTTCTATTGGAATGTTTCTTGTGAAAAATGTAAGGAGTTCCTACTTGAATGACATATAAATTGTTATTTGTAGAAAAATAGCGATATAATAAAT